TTTTTATTATATATTAATTATGTATATAAACCCAATGTAGGCTCATCTATTTCCTGGTCTCACTGCTAAGTGAGGTTATTTAAATAGCTTCCCTACAACCTTTTACGATTCGCTATCGCATTTTAAGTACCCCAGCATATTCTTTTGCCCGACGCAAAGAAACCAAAACACATCCATCAAGTCATCTACATAGCCATCCAGCTGCGATCACGTAGCGTACTTCACAAATACGTATTGTTGTGACTTTAAGCGTAAAGTGGCACTTGGACTTCGACTGTATAAATTGTACTTATGTATATACATACAAGCATATATGTATATTTATTTACCACATGCGTACGATGTTTTGGATCTCATTTTTGGAATAAACAAAAGCAAACAACAAGAACAACAAAAGCAACAATAACAACACCAACATTATTGCCATCGAACTAAAACAAAACAAAAAATAGTTGAGTCGAGCTAGAAAAACCTGTTTCTTTTGCTAGAACTGTTGCACACTTGACGAATGAGATCGAGAACGAGATCGGAGCTAGTTCGCTCAATATGGTGCACTAGTTTCTTTCGGCTGCATGGGCACCTTGCAAACTAAATATGTATGTAGGCATATATATTTACTGTATATAAATATACATGTAGATATAGATATATATACATAAGCACATTTAGCCCAGGCAGAGGCTATTTTGGGATATCTTCACACACACACATACGCACACACGCACAGAGAATCAAGTTGCTTCCTGTCAGAGCGCAAGCAGCAGCAGCAAAAGCATCAATCGGCTGTCGGCACAAATGACACATTTTCGGAAGCCGAACCAGAACCTGAGCCGCAGCTGAGAGCTGCGAGCTGAGTCGAGAGCCGAGCCCAGTCAGGAAGTCTAAAAATGAACAAAACCGGTGCGAGTCGAGCCTTTCTGAGCTTCGGAGCTGGTGAGTGAACGCACTCAAGGATAACTGACAGCACACACACATATGCATAAGAGCGAGATATTTATATTTGTAGTACATACACACATACATGCACATTGGTATGGCCCCTTGGTGGGCGTTGCTGCTGCTGCTGGGACTGTGTCTTGGGAAGGGGGCGCGGGCTACGACATAATATAAAACCAATCAAGTTGACCGTTTTGACAATCGCGGAAACGTTTAACGAAACCAAACTCAACGTGATCTCAGTCGTTAATTTTATATGTTTGCATTAACATGTTAACACAGGTAGAGTCAAAAAACGCTCAACAACGTGGCCCAAATACGAATCGGCACGATGAGATAAATGTATAAAAATTAAAATAATAATAATACTACTAAGCTAGCTAAAAATACTTGGTTAGACATCAAATACAAATCGACGCAAATTTTGCTATCATTGTCTTAGGTGCTTGGGTCTGTAGCTGATAAGATAACGAAACAGAGGAAGTGAATAAATGTGAAATGTGTTCGTGGAAAATGTAAAAATAGTTTGTCTAATGTGTGTAGATACTATAGCAATTTATTTAATTTTGTTTTTCTTGTTTCTTTTCATTACAAAATTTTTTTAATAAAATTGTTTGCTATTCTTATTCGCGTTGCTCAATAGCTGACTATATTCTAATAGAAAGTGGCGAGATTTTAATAATACTATATAAACATAATATATATATTTCACAAAATGTTTATATAAGGAATAAGTAAAGTCAAAGTCATACAGGCTCACGCACAAAGCATTAATAATTCTACAAATTAAAAACATTATAATCGATAGCAATAAACTTTGACAAAAATCTAACATATTACATACTAAATATTGACTTGTCAGAAACAAACAAAATACTTGTAAAGTGCATATTTATAAATAAAAAGAAATATAAATACATCCATAGCAAGAAAATGTACACATACGCATATGCAGACACACACACGCACACACAGAGCCAAACAGTCGCAGGGCAAACGAAGCCAAATGCAACAGCGCAATTGCACTGCGCCAATGTCAAGCCAGTGCACTGCAGTGTAGTCAAAGCTTAAGAACTTTATTATGCATAAAGCGTGCCACAGTCGGAGGGAGCTTGAGGTATATACACCTACAAGCACACACACATACATGTTATGCATGTGTGTACATTTGTATTTGTTTGTGTTTTGGCTCTGTTGCCGAGCAAACCACTCTCTCGCTCTATGCTTCTCTGAACTCTCTCTCTGTCTCTCATTCTTTCAGCTTGATAGCAGCTCGCGTATGTATGTGTATGTTTGCGAGTGTATGGGTGTGTGTAGAATTTTATTGATTAGTCACAAGGCTGGCAGCACTGCAACATCAACAGCAACAGCACCAGCAGCTGAGTTGCGCTATGATTTTTGCTTGCAAGTTGCAGTTAGGTTGTCGCCCACGCATCTGCGACAGCCTTTGGCAATTGCAGCGCAGGTACTCACCTTCAATAGGGGCAGGTTATCATCGCGTGCAGCATTGAATATGATGAATTTGTCATCCATTTTCGAATTTGTGTTTGCTGTCGACTCAATATTACATAAATAACAACTTTGAAGCCTCACTCAGAATTTTGTTTTGTTTTTAATTTATATGTTTAGCAAACAGCCAAAAAATTATTTGTTTTTAATAAATTTTCTGCTGCTGCTTTCGTCGTTTGGTTGCGAGATTGAGATTTTTCACTGCCTGCTGTGGATGTTGTTGTTATTGCTGATGTGAACTGCTAGTAATTTATTTGTATGTATATATGTAGGTATGTGGGTATTTCTCACACAAAGAACTTTCAACCGAAAATAAATATACAATTCTTTCAATAATTGCACAATTATCGTCAGTCAACGTTATTGCTGAGTTTTTATTGCTCTGCTTCCGTGATTTGTTGCATTTTTCTTATTTTTTCTGCGCACTCTTCTTCGGTGGCAGCGGCGACGGCGGCCAAAAGCAGGAAGACCAATTTCTTTGTACTATTTCTCTTTTGTTGGGTCGCTTCTGCTGTGCGGCGCGTTAAAAAATCAACTGCATTTAAATTACGTCGCGCCAATCTTCTGTTGTTTACACTCTGCGCCAGCTTAGTTTCTTGCGTTTTAATCTTTAATTTTATTTATTTAAAACACACAAACAATCACGAGCGGCACGGTCGCGCGACGTCACGCACGGACAAGAAAAATATTACTGAAAATAACTCTGTTAACTTTTTCTTATAAGAGTGATCGAATAAAATTATAGTGATGGGCACGTGAGCAAAGTAGCCACACTGGTATTCTCACGACCAAAGTAGCAATATTCATATCCACTAAATTATATAGTGATGATTAAGAAAGCATTAAAAATATCAATATTAGTACGAATCATTTATACCTGCTACAAATTTTATATTTATTAAACTAGTAGCATTTTAATCGCGCGTGTACTAGAAATTAATCATCGCGCACCACACCACTCTTTTAACTCTATCGATATTCTGCTGAGTTAACATACAATGGATAAACGAAAAATAAAAATGTTCGACTGTTGAGGTATCGAAATGCTGCAAACTGTTTATCGGTTATTTTCTGACAATCGAGAATTCATAAATATTTAAAAACTTCCCGCGCGAATCGTGTTTCACTGCAAGATATAATTTGATAGACAGGTATTAGCTAACCCATTTTTCTTTAGGTGGTTGCTAAAAATTAAAGTGAAATATCTCTCAATGTTCGAAGCATTGAATAGGAGCTCGTATTAATATGATCTGATAATACAATGGACCAGCTACAAATTAAAAGCGATAACATTTATTAGTTATATTCAGTTTACACTGAAAAAAAAATGTAACACGCCATTCCACATTGGTAACCACAACATCATTAATTTTTTAATGAACTCGAGGCTCGCGTGTACATTAAGAAATTCAAAAATCATCATATAAAAGCGTTCTTCTATTTTACAGCCATTTTATCTTCAATCCCATGTTGTATGTGCCTTGTTGCTGTTGTTGTTAATTGTCCCTTGTGCATACAGTTGAGAAAACTACTTATCAAAATTGTTATTGCTGCTGCCGCCGCCGAAGTTGCTTGTTTCACTTGTATCCACTCCATTTGCAAAGCGTAATAAGCGACGCCTATAAGATTGACAGCACTTGTCAGTATTGAATGAAAACGGCTCAAAAGATTTGTAGTTTCTTTACGTTTTTAGAGTGTTTATTAAAAAATTAATAATTTGTGGTTCATCAAGAAGCGTCCCCATTTTTATTGTGGCTTCCTACGGAACGAGCAGCCTAAATTTGAAAATCATACATATTAGTGACGTGGAATAAACAATTATTTAAAACAATCTATTTACCTTCTGTCAGCTTGGCACGTCCTCCAGTTGGCTGGCACAGAATGGTGGCGCAACCAGCACAGACCACAACGCCCTGGGCGTGACTGAACACAGTTGTAATTCTGTAGCATCCGGGGCACTTGACATCCATGAAGTAGGAGTTGGGGTGCTGCACCAAGCGCTTTAGCTTGTGCTTGCGTTTCTCCTCAGCGGGCAGAGGGTGCAGTAAATCTTTTGCTAGCTGAAATGGCAAACCAAACAATGCAAGTTCACTATTAATCACATTTCAACTTCCTTTGACACATTATCGATTCCACAATATCATTTAATATCGTATTTCACAACTGTGTGCAAATTAACTTAGATAGACGGTGATACGCGCGTTTAACATGCGTTGCCAACGAAAGCACAGATTGCACGGTGTTGAGCGACGCACTGTTTTATTTGCATAATTCATATATTGTCACAGTAAATGCTCTATTTTTAAGTACTGCGATGCAACGCGGCCATTACTACATAATTTTGGCGCATGCATTTGCAAATTTTCTTTGTTTAAAAGCTTATTTTTGTAAAATTTTGCACCCACCGGCATGTTTTTTCTTTCACAGCTAACACGGAAAAGGAAGTCGGCCAAATCGCAGCCAACTTAACAAACGATAAAGTACTAAAAAAACCCTACTTAGCACAGTTAACACAGCACGGTGTTTTCTATTTGGCGCAGAGTGGCAGCCCTGTCACAATCATTCTGGCGCCTTTTTAGCACTGGCAGCTCTTCAACACTATAGAGCACTTTCGTCTGACCGGAGTAACAAAGCGAAGAAACATTAAAGTTAATAATGTCGACGCTTGAATTGTGTGAAAAGTTCTTTGAGACCCGTGATGTGTACAAGCTGATGGGCATTGCAAAAGATGCCAAAGAAAAAGATATCAAAAAGGCGTACCACAAACTCTCACTGTTGGTGCACCCCGACCGAGTACCCGACGCTCAAAAAGACGAATCAACGGAGAAGTTCAAAGTGCTCTCTAAAATTTACCAGGTGCTAACCGACTCACAGAAGCGCGCAGTCTATGACGAGCAGGGCATCATCGATGACGATGACGAGGGCAAGCTCACTAACTGGCTTGACTTGTGGAGCAAGATATTCAAGCCGCTGTCCGAAGAGGACATTAGCAACTACGAGAAAGAATATGTCGGCTCTGAGCTGGAGCGTGCAGATATTAAGAAGGCATATCTGGGTGGCAAGGGCTGTATAAACTACATCATGAATCATGTGCCGTTCATGAAAGTCGAAGACGAACCCCGCTTCAAAGAGATTGTGGCCAGCATGATTGCATCCAATGAGGTGCCCGAGTACAAGATCTTCACAGAGGAGCCAGCTGCTAAGCGTAATAAACGCCACAAGAAATATGCTCGCGAATCGAAAGAGGCGGTTATTATCAAGGAGCGCATTCAGCGCCGTCGCGAAAAGGACGCTGAGGCGGAGCAAGAAATGTCGGGCGATGGAAATTTAGAGCAAATGATATTGGCGCGCAAAAATCAACGCGAATCGAATTATAATTCACTAATGGATCGATTGCTCGAGAAATATGCCGGTGAAGATGATTCCGACACAGTTGACTTTAGCACATTCGACAAGAAGAAGAAGCTGAAGGCAAAGACCCCGTCAAAACATACACAGAAGTCGGCAAAGATAAATAATGTGAAGAAGGGTCGGGTGGAGAAGCCAAGAGCTTAAATGTATTTGTAGTTTTATTATCTCAAAATTCGTTTAGTTTTAATTATATTTACAGATATTTACTGATAATAATAATAAAAATAAATACATCAAAAATAAAATAAATCTGCTCTGGCTGGGAAAGTCCGACTACGATTCATTTTTCTATAACATCCTTTATATTTAAATAGAAATTCCAAGTCACATAAATTAGAATATTCATTACACAAACATTTATGCATATTCAATAAATAGAAATAAATTCTTCGATTTATAATTTCAGTGCTAGGCCATATTACATGGATCTTGAATAAAATAACAAGTACGTAATATTAAATTAGTATGTTGTATGTCTAATTAAAATTTACCAATATAAATATTTTAAACCGACTTAAATTCTGCAAATATCGGTTTTGAACTGCATACTAATCGTAAGAGGTGTCAGTCGGAGATGCCAACTCGTTAACTTAATCAGCTCCGTTTCTTACCATAAGAGTTATCGACTATTTATCGCAAATAGTAAACAAAGTAGAAATAGTCGTAAACTAGACTAGCACTAGCTTAAGTGGTCATTTATATCAGAGAAACGTCATCCAATGGACAAAATAAATCAGATGCCCATATCTGCGAGTCAATGCCGTATTTGTTTAGATGAATGCGACACTGGCACTATGCAAGCACTTTTTACAGAAAATAAGGATTCCGCAGCAAAAAGTGAGAATACGAGCGACACCAATTATGACAAGTGGCGTTTGAGTAGCAAAATAGAATACTGTTGTGGAATCAAGGTACAAGCAAACACGCAATAAATTATAGCGCACATATACATATTCTAAATACTTTACAGATTCGTCAGGCATCGCACTTGCCATCCAAAGTCTGCAAGAGATGCTGTGATTTTATAAGCATGTGGTTCAGCTTTCGGCAAATGTGTCTTAATACACAGGTGTATTTGGAGAGCACGTATATCCATGAGGAAAAACCCCATGATCTGATCGATGCTAGCGACACCGAGTATATGCAATACCTATATGAGACCTTGCAGTTGGCTTCATTCGAAAATTACCAAACGAACGAAGAACTCCAAGCTGGTGACGCTGCTCTTATAGAGAGTGATTATGTTATGGACTACGACGAGGAAAACTATGTGGCAGACGTATTATCAGCAGAAGACCAGGTCGAATGCGCTAAAGAAGATATGCAAGGAATAGTAACTAAACTGGAGACATACGAGCAAAATGAGGACGAACAAATCGAAGTTGAGCAAACATACACTTATCAAGATGAAGGCCATGAAGTGGAAGTGGACCTACCGGTCAAAGTGGAGGAAGGTGAAGTAGATTACGAGGACTTTCTATCACCAACACCCTCGCCTGAGCCAGAACAAAGCAGTGAAATGGTTAAACGCAAACCAGGACGCCCACGCAAGCCCGACAGTGAGCTAAAGTCCAAACGAAAGAATAAAAGCGACTCACAAATGAAAAACGAGCAGCGAAGTGAGGATATCACTAAATACATATGCAATCTCTGTGGTAATGTCTATCCAAAGAAGGCAGCATTTACGGCCCACATGATGGCGCACACCGACTACAAGCCACATCAATGCGAGTAAGCCGCAATTACTCATATTACAGTATATTAGATATTCCCCTTATATTTATATATTTCATATTTGTCAGAATCTGCTCCAAGTCTTTTCGTCAAATGGGAGAATTGCGCGCTCATATACGACGTCATACTGGAGAGCGGCCCTACAAGTGTTTATACTGCGATCGCTTCTTTTATGACCGTAGCGAAAAGGTTCGCCACGAACGAGTGCACACCAACACAAGGCCTTATGAGTGCAAGGAATGCGGCAAAACCTTTACACACACGGCTATTTTGAAAAATCACAGTCTGGTTCACTCTGGCGAGAAGAATTTTAAGTAAGCGTAGTAAAAACTCAATTTTATATACATACTTATGTAAATAACAAATTTGGAATATCTTCTTCAGCTGCACCGTTTGCTCCAAGTCGTTTACACTTCTCCACCAGCTGAAGGCGCATTTGCAAACACTGACACACCGAAGCAAAGAGAACCAATCCCTTACGACCTCCAACACCTACATACTTCATACTGAGTAATTTAAGCTAGGCGGTAATTTAAATATAATATCAGCAACACGTTTTATGTATACTGACTGTACTATGGTATATATACTAAATATAAATATCTCATATTTATTCAATTTGTTATATTATATTTTTTATAGAATTTCATTATTTAACAAAAAACAAAAAAAAAAAAACGCTTCCATAGGAGCACATTGTTTTAAAAATTAACTATAATAGGATTAAAAGCAATTAACTGCTGGAATAGTCGCTCTCGCCCTGATTGTATAGCATTATGCCAACCTCATAGCGATGAACGTGGGTCCGTTCATGAGCCTTTAACTGATGTGGCAAACGAAAGCCCTTGTTACAGGTAACGCATTTATGTGGCTTTTCCTTCGAATGAGAGAGGAAGTGCGCTTTTAATGTAGTTGATAGTGAAAAGGTTTTGGCACACATGTTACAGGCATAAGGTCGTTCATTAGTATGCATTCTGTAAATAATGCAAATATATGTTAGTAAAAAACTTTAGATTGTCAAGCGCCATATTGCATACCTTTCGTGCTTGCGATGGGTGCTGCGATCCGCAAAACGTCGACTACAGTGGGAACATTCGTAGGGCTTTTCGCCCGTGTGGGTACGCATATGGGTGGTTAAATTACAAGCGGCGTTGAAGCGCTTGGAGCACAGCCTAAAAGTAAATAAATTAAATTTGATGCCCGCATTGAATTTGATTACACTTACTCGCATTCGTAATTCTTTTCATTGCGATGGGTGCGCAGATGTGATTTAAGCTGCGTTTGATTTGGAAACGAGTTGCCACATACGGCACAGCTGTGTCTGGGGAAATTTGATGGCTCACACGCGGCAGTTAAGTCAACCATATCAAGAGAAGTGCCTGTTGAAGTTGGCTCTTCTCCCTTCAGCACAGGTTTTTCCTCCGGCTCTGACTGAATGTCTACAACTTGATTTGAAAATTTCGAGGTGGACTTCTTAGGTGCTGCTTCAACAACTGCATAGCTATCTGGCTCTGTGTAATCGTTATCATAAACTTCAATGCCATTATCACCCACATCAGTTATGATATACTCATTGCCCTCGGTGTCTGTCTCTGCATCTCTATCATGAAAGTCAAGAACACATTTACTTACAACAAGTAAATAATCCGCATCTTTATGTCCAGACCCAGCTGAGGATTTGTTGCCTCCAGTTGGCTTTTCATATTGCACAGGAATAAGCATTTTATTTCCATTTTCTGAAGTGCTATTTGACTCTACGTCAGTAAGCTCGTGTGCTTCTTTGAAATCTGTATACGAAATTTCAGGTTCGTCCAATACATTTTCCACTTGCGAGTCAAGTTCCTTTTTCTGTTGTTGATTTCTCACACATATGTTCTGTTTACGCGTTCGGGGAACTTGTTTTTCAATTTTGCTCCGACTACTACTCACTGCGCTCTGATCCATTGAATTACTCGGAAAGCGTATTCCCGAGGACATGGTGCGACGTACAACACTTCTTAGATGCGCGTCGGACCGTCTGCAACCTGTCAGAAACGCATGAGCCGATTGAAGAGCTTTAATACAATCCATACATATTTTGTCCGGCAAACCGTCGTCTGGTTTGACCTGTGTATAACAATAGATATTATTTTAGCTAACACAATTTTATATTGTATTGCGTTTTACCACAATTCCAGCGTATTCCTCCAGTTGCTTGGCTAAATTGGGATCATTGAACAGCGGCTGAAGTTGATCACTACTATCGGCCGTGCACGTGCGGCACATTTTCCATTTTATACAAATTTCCATTTCTTAACACTTTACGATCCCAAAATATTTACGATTGAAAAATTATATTACATTTTGCGGCTTGTCAAAGTTAGCTGGTATTCACTACTGAGCGCAGCGCGAGTCATAGTGAACCTATCTCTTACCAGACCGTTACAATTGATTTCAAACATATTTCTATTATGTGGGATGCGTGTCTTTAGAAATTTAAGTGTTCAATTTAATGCTTGTAAACATAGTATCAGATAGATCCGTTAATATTTTGTTCTGCATGCGCTATTAGTAATTTTTGGATGTTAGATTTTATCGACGCAACCAAATGAAATCGGAAAGGCGGTGAGAATGGCATTCTAATATATCGGCATTCACGATAATAAAATTTTGTCAACAAATGTGGTCACACTGTTTTCCTGTCAATAATAAAAAGAAAATAAAACTACAACAAAAAGGGCAGGAAAAAAATAGAAAATTTATTATCAAATTGTTATCATAATTGTTTATAGAATTGTAAAAATAAAAATAAAACCATGCCAGAATATTTAATCTGTCGAATATGCCTTACGGAAGACATGAATGTCGATACAATGACACCACTGTACGACGATCTGGATGTTCAATGTCCACTAGTTCGGAAAATAGAAGAGATCGGGAGCATTAAGGTATGCTAACAGATATCATATCTTACAGATTTCATCATTAAATTATATTAAATAATTAGCTACCGCCCTTGGAAGACATGCCAAGTCTGCTCTGTTGCACTTGTGTCGGTAGCCTTAACAGCGCCTATAAATTTCGAGAATTATGCCAGGAAAGTGAGCGAACCTTTGCCAGCAGCGTTGTAAAGGTATGATATTCATTCGACTGATAAACTATAATGGTTCAAGTGTACATTTATTGGTATAATGTTTGAAGGCGGAATTAAAATTGGAGCCAACGGATGATCCTTCACAAATTGAAAGCGATAGCGTGGAGTACATTTACGAAGCGGCCAATGAGTTTATTGACGCCGATGATGACATTGAATTCGATGCAATGCTAGAAGAGCGCTTGGAGGAAACAATTGAGGAGGCGGAAGCCAACGCTGTTTATGATGATTTTGAGCGGACGACAGATTTGGATGATAAGAACATATCAATTAGCAATGCAAGCGACAGCGACTACGAACCCAGTGAACGGTTGCGAAAGCCAAAGGTACGAAAATCGAGGCTTAGCAAACGTGGACGGGGACGACCTCGCAATCCGACACATTCAGTAATTAAGAATGGTCAAGCAAAGACAACAAATGTAGCAACTGCGAATAAACCGAATGAAGAGACCTCTACTAACATCATGTGTGAAATATGTGGCAATATCTACTCGAAACGTGCAGCGCTCAATATTCACATGCGACGACACATGGCCGAGAAGCCTTTCGAATGCGAGTATGTTTGTAGAAGTGCACTATATTTCAATTTAATTAAGTTCAGAAATAATAATAGAGAATGTCATGATATCTTCGAGATATCGAATATTTTATCTAATATTCTCAAATTAGTTCTAGTACATAGTGCAATTGCAAATATCTCTTCAATCACAGATTATCTGTGTTTTTCTTTACACTTCTGAATCATTTTACAGGCCATAACAGCAACATGAAGTTAATTTTTATGTTTAAAAAATTAATAATTGTATAATTTTGTACTCATACTCTATCAGCAATTTAAAACTTACTTTTTTCTTTAAACTCGTTATGTTATGTTACATGTTCTTTAATATACTGTTTTTTTTTTTTTTTTTTTTAGAATCTGCACTAAATCGTTTGCTGGTCCCTCGGAGCTAAATCGCCATATCAGAGTACACACAGGCGAGAAACCTTTTACGTGCAAATACTGTTCCCGAGCATTTGCTGATCGAAGCTCAAATATACGCCACGAAAGGTAATAGTAATACAGGAATTAGTTAACCACTAACTTATATATTTTATTACAGAACCCATACAAACGAGCGACCATTTACCTGTGCTACATGTGGCAAGTCTTTCTCTTATTCGAATGTTCTCAAGAATCACATGTTGACACATACAGGCGAAAAGCCCTTTTTGTAAGTTTATGATTTTACATATAAGATATGTCTAATAAGAATATTTTATAACATTTACTTTAAATATATACATAATAGAAATTGTACATGTATTTAGACATGCGCAACGAATCATAGTTATTGATGAATGAAATAAATCATTTCAGATGTTTGCCGTGCAATAAAACCTTTTCCCGCAAGCATCAACTGGAGCAGCACACAGGAACTATGACCCATCAGCAAACTGTGAAAGCTCTTCAGACTAGCGATGCAGCTCGTCACACTGAGCTATATTAGTCATTCGCAATGGTTTAAATAATTATTTAGTTGTTATATATATTATAAATTTAAATCCCATTTGTAAATAAAAAGTACAAATTTAAGAACCCATTTTCGCCCAGATGTGCCAGATTATTTCTATTACACGAAATACAAACAAGAGGTAAAATAGGTATAAAGTATGCAACAAAATTATTAGTTTCAAATGAATGTGATTGAAACGTAAAGCCAATGTAGTTTCCGAAGGATATATAGGAGCAATACTTAAGATATAAAAGCAAATGTATATGGTTCAATACACCAATAGTACACATATTTATATTATTTTGTATACGAATATAACATACAGAGTTTTAAACAATTTTTTTTTAGCTCTGCCAACGTCTGCCAGGCTAGGAGAATACAACATCAACATAGTAGGTTGGATTGCTAACCAACATCCTCAATATTTCGTGGCCTAGAGACGGGGTCACTGGCATAGTTTATGTGCCGAGGATTTCGGATTTATTGTGGCTTCCTCAGGCAACTCGAGATGAAGAGACTTTTCGCATGTTCATAGCAGTCGATAGAACGACTAGTGCTTGATCAACTCCTTTGTTGTGAAATATTAAGGCAATATCTAAAAAATTAACAATATTTGATTATGAAGTTTATGGGTAAACTTATAATTAATTAACATATCTACATACATAACACACATAAAATTGACTAATGCTTAAACGTTTTCGAAATGCTTAAGCATCAGATTTGCTAGCTCATTACAGCGGAGTAACTTGTACTCATGAAATTCCGTAATGTCCTTGCATTACAATTTTGAGTGCTTCAATATAGCATACAGAGTCAATGTAATCAATCAATGGATTTCGCATAGACGTCATTTGAAACCCTTGTAAGATAATTCTCATGAACTCCTTTAAGTCGCCCGATTTGCAGTAGTCAGATTTTGAATTAACTTCTGTATCAACTGTTTTTCTGAAAGAGAACAGCGGTTGCGAAAAGCAGTGGCACATCCCAGGTCAATGAGGCATACCCTGCAAATAAGCACCGGATATCCTGGAATTTTCTCGAGCTATGAAAAATGAAAAAATTTTAACAACAGTTAATAATGTGCAATATTTAAAATGCAACCTGCAATTTACTAGTTGAATTGAGTTGCGCTATTAAGTGGGCATTTTGATCACGAAATAGATCAACCATGTCTTGAATACGCTTAACGTAATTTAAACAAAGACGGCACCTCCTCGACTCCATCATGCGCTCCCCACAGTAGTGGGAAAATAGAGATACTGATTTTGAGTTTCAGCAGTCAAGTGAATACTACTAGTGTTGCTTCTTCTTCTTCTTTAGACATTCACAGCGAACTTATAAATTCAGAAACAGCTGATTCCTTACTTTGTTTACAAATATACAAACGATTTTTAATTATTTTTTGCTTAAAGATTATATTTAATTTAGCTTATAGAAAATGACGCTACAATGTCGTACCTGTGGAAACGTAATTTATAATATGAACGCTAAAAATCTATTCCAGACTGAAAACGCTGATGTCTTAATGAACATTGAAATTGTGGCTGGAACTGCAGTAAATTATTCTGTTAACATGAATTTCATACGTTTATTTTAATCACGGCTTTTATATGACAGCTAAAAAAATGCCCTGAGCTTCCATCTCACATATGCGGTTGTTGTCTTCTTGACCTGAAGCAAGCCGTCGTCCATATGAAAGTATTCCGGGAACGCTGTATAAAGACGCAGCAGCTGCTGCAAAGCACCCAAACCCTAGTCGAAAATTCGTCGAAAGGGGATATGGAACTAAAAAGTGATTATCAGGACACTATGTCAAATTACGAGGAGCTACCCATTGAAATTGATAGACCAGAAGAGAATTTCGATGATGACGATGATGAGATTATTGACTCTTTTGAGGATACTATTTCAAGAGATAAGGAAGGTCCCACGGAGGATGCCGACTACTTAATAGCAAGCGTTCAAAATGAAATGCGCAGTATATGTGAATTTAGCAGTGACAGTCAAGAGACGACCGAAGAGCTTCAGACATTTTCAGATAATGAATCAATCCAAAATATTAGTAGCTGCAGTGACATAAGTAAATCTATTAGTATCAGAGTCAGTCCACCTACAACATTCACCAATCATCCACTTAACAAAGATTATTCAAATGGAAATTCGAATAAGAAAATACATAAGAAAAATTTAAATAGAAACAATTTAAATTGTAAAACGATAACTGTTAAAACGAAAAAGACTTACCTCAGCTGGAAGAATCTGACAGAGGAGCAAATTATTGCTCGGCGGCGGAAACAGAGGCTTCGGGACTGCATTTGTGATCAGTGTGGCAGGCATTTCACGGATCAAAGTAATTTCAAACTGCATATGCTGCGACACTCTGGCATCAAGAACTTCAAATGTCAAGAATGCAGTAAACTATTCTATACCGATCACTTGCTACAGCTACATGAACGGACCGTGCATCGTGGAGAGCGACCATATGCTTGCAAATACTGCGACAAAACGTTTAACAGCAGCACAACTCGTGTAATGCATGAACGGTTCGTTTTTCCAGCTTCGTATCATTTTTATACATACATACATAATAATATTAATATTAATATATTTATCTAGCTCCCATACGAATGTGCGACCGTACTCTTGCGAATATTGCGATAAATCATTTATTTCTGCTTCTGCACTTAAGAGACATGATCTAACACACAACGGCGTGCGAGCATTTTAGTAAGTCTTTTGAAATCGATTTGAATAAGCTAAACTTTAAACGTATTTTTTTTTTTATAAACATTTCAGCTGTAATATATGCGACAAAACATTTCAAAGAAATACTCATTTAAAGGCTCATTTGCGTTCCAAGCTGCATACAATGAAAGAAGACAATATTCATTTATTACAGGAGGAAATTCCCATGTTATGATTAAAAACTTAATATTAACTTTTAAACCACTAAAACATTTCAATGCCAACATTTTCCAGCTTATAATTATAAGAAATCAACTAATCATTAAATCGGGTTTGAATAAATCGGGAAAATATCAACTAATATCCAAAATAAACACAATACAGATTTCTAAACAAACGTTGAGTCGATAATATCAGTTTATACTTTTCAGTTTGTTAACAGTATATTTATGAGATTTTCAGTGTATTTTTTTAGTATGTTTCATTAAAGTGTATTTCAGGGTTTTCGTGAGCTGGTCGCTTTGTTGACGTCTCTGCGTTTTACAAATTAAACAAATTTATTCTGTAGTTTTTATTAAAATGGAGGACTTCTGCCGAACTTGTGGCAAAACTGTGAATGAAGAAAGTTGCATTAATGTATTTTCACCCCAGAGTCGTCGACTATTACATTGTGTGCGCAATATAACAAATTGTTGGGTATTGAGATAATGTTTCCACTTTCGATGAAATTCTAACTTTGTATATTTTAGATGGAAAATGTTACCGGCTTTCCAATTTATATTTGCGAGGACTGTCAAATTCTGGTAAAGAAGGTAAATACCTTCCGTAAGCGCTGCACGAAAATCGAAGCCTTTCTAACTAAACGGAAAGCCAAGTTGAGCTCAAATAATGATTTAAAATCAAAGCAGAGTAAGATTTCCGATCCGCTTCGAATTGAAACGGTGGATACTGATGTTAATATTAAAAGGGAGACAAAAACCACACAACACATGCAATCTGATGATTTGTTTAATGAGTTTCACAAGGATACTGGAGAAATAAACGAATGTTTTAGAGATCAACCGGATTCCGATGACTGCGCTAGTATATCGTTTAATGACGATATTGAAGGACAGCCCAGTGAAAACTCTCCCAACTCTCTAACTCCCCACCCTGAAGCTGAATTGAAGCCTTCAGTCAGCATTGAGCCAAATACAAAAGCGAAAAATAGCACCCGCAAGTACACTATGCGCGTAGGCAAGAGAACTATGTACATAAAACTAACAAATGAGAAACAGCCGAAGCGCATTGTAGACCGGGAGCGACAATGGGCCTCCGCGCGCCCCTGTATTTGTGAGCACTGTGGCCGCCAATTCAAGGATGGCAGCAATCTCAATGTGCATTTGTTGCGGCACACCGGCACTAAGAATTATGAGTGCCAGGAATGCAACGAAAAGTGCTACACACTGCATCTGCTTCGACGCCATCAGCTAAAGCATACTGAGGGCCCGTATGCGTGCACATTCTGCGGACTACAATATAGTACGAACAGCTCCCGGGTACGACACGAACGGTGAGTGAAGGGAAACTTATGTTAGAAAGAATTTATGAAATTCCAATTCCTTAAATTTACAGTGAAGCTTGCAAGAAAGGTCGAGGTCCACAATCAAAAACGGAGCTAATTAAGCGTGGTGAACGCACATTTCAGTGAGTTTTAGTAATTTAAAACTTCTTAAATATTAATTAATAAGTCTCTTGTGTTCCACAGCTGTGATGTATGTGATCTTTGGTTCCTGCGCGCCGGCAATTTAACTCAGCATATAAATTCATCAAATCATATTGCTAACGTACGGATAAAAAGTAAGAGATCCCAATCCAAACAAAAGAATTCACAAAATATAGATGTTGCATCATGAATACATTTTTTATTACACCACTTTGTAATAAAAATTAATAGAAAAATAATGCTCTGTACTTTAAATATCTTAACGCTAATTTTAGGATAACCTAATTTGAATCTTCTTCAATCACTTCAATTTTTCTCAGCTTTTGTAGATTCTCCTTATGCATTTTGCTAAATTGATGCGAGCATAAATTGAACTTATACCGAAAGAATGCGTTGCAAACATCACACCTAAAAAAATGCAGTAATTGAAATAATCAAATTAAAATATTAAATCAATATTCCATTGCCGAACCTGTAGGGTCGTTCGCCAGTGTGAATTCGCTCGTGTTCTTTCAACTTGCTGCGTACATAGAACCCCTTTAGACAAATGTCGCACTCGAAGGGACGTTTGCTATCATGCCTCATTTCATGTTTCTTTTTCGATTGGGGATCCGGAAAGCTCATGTCGCAGAGCTTGCATTTAAAAGGCGTGATACCCATATGTATATTGGTGTGCCAATTGAGTGCATATTTTGTCGCATAGCTTTTATTGCAATAGGTACAAAAGTGACGAACATTTTCCCTCTGTTCCAGCGCATTCTGCGATTGTTGCTCCTGCTCATCGGTTTTAAGTTCGATCCGTTTGTTCAATCTGTTCGAGCTTCTATGAATACGTGGAGATGCTCCGTGAACCTTTCTGCAAAAACCATTTGTATATTATCAATTTTTATTTGCGTCATTGACTATTTCAATTTGGCACCTACTTTTCATGCAAATAGCGCGTGTTGGACGAGCCAAATGCTTTCCTACAATACTTGCATTCAAATGGCAATTCTCCTTTGTGCCGCACACGTATATGCATGTTTCGCATATAGGCATCGTAGAACATTTTAGGGCACTCGGGACAAGAATAGTTCTTTGTGCGCGAATGCCGCAACATATGGATCGTTAAATTGCATCTCACCCGAAATGAGGCGCCGCACTGGTCGCACACGTGGTTCAAGGGCATGGCTCTGATTTGCTCTCGGCGTATGCGATTTCTTTCTTCTTTTGTGCGCTTTGGGCGTTTCGGCTTGGGATCCCGAGGTTTTCGTATTCGTTTTCGTACCACATTTTGCTTAGTTATTGTTGCCTTTCTCTGTCGGGGTCGTGCTGTCTTGTCCTTACCCCTGTATTCATTGAGAAGATCCTCATAAATTTGAGCGCCCAATGCAATACTATTTGAATCTGCAGTCGGCGGATATGTTGGCTGAACCATTTGTTGTGTCGTTTCAAAGGGAAAAGGCTCAACTACAGTTGTTTGATCTTCTTCCGGAAACATGGAAACAAAATCATCACAGTTCTCACTAATCTGCATTATCTCTGAATCATTAGCACTCAAAATTTCTGTATCAGGGTCCTTGATAATGGTATCTCCTCCTGCTAGCTCTACCTCCGTTCGAATACAGGTTTCTCGAAAATGTATGGCTGTGCTCAGATTTTGGACGCAGTTTGAACACATGATCGACGATATGCCCTCCTTACATTTGATCTGAAACACAAATATTTGTATACCGAAACCATGTGTAAAATAATGGTTTTAGCAGATACTAACCCAGATACCGGTTATAACTTCAATGTGATATAACATGACGGCGTTTTGTTTGTCACCAAGATCTTTAGCATTTTCATCAACAACAAATAGTTCATAGCAGGTGCGGCATTTAACCTGTTGGATATCTTTTTGTACACCACACAACTCCAGCTCCTCCTGCTCTTCTGCCAATGGATCGCTTTCACTGGGTGTCGGTGTACATGGAATAAAGGCATTGCCAGTTGCAATTACGAAATCGGGAGCCGACGCGATGCCTGTGTTTCTGACAAAATCTGGAGCTTTAACAATTGCTCCGCTGGCTTCCGCTGCTTCACGCGCTGCCGCTTCCTCAAGTAACTCTTGGACCAGTTTTTTGTTCTTTCGCCTTTCAGATCGCTCGCGTTCAACTGTACTCATATCGCTCTTATTTATGCAAGGCACGGCACCTGGTTTCAGCGTTCTTTTACTGCATAGACCTACAATAAGAAATTGAAGTTAATGTGATGAGAGGCGTTTAAATTGTTTTACCAACCCATTTGAAACTGTAAGGCTCCTTGTATATCCTCCTCTTTAAAGTGCTCATTGCAAATGACGCTCTTAAGTGGTGCCTTCAGTTTTTCTTTGTTGTATCTGCGGCAAAATGCAAGCCATTTTTTTAAGACGTCCGGATTTTTGGGAAAACTGAAGAAACTGAATTGTTCAGAATGCTTTTGTTTTGACCTGAACTTGTTCGCGCAATTTTGTATTGCACACTTCATTTTTATAGAATTTACTTTTATTTGTGACGTCGCATTACAGACCTAGTACCAGGGCTGGCGAATGTTTGCTCGCGCTTCTGCAGGCTATCGATATGCAAACTATTCATTCTTTACTCCTTATCGGCTATTTGCTTGCCAATCGGCGAGAGACAGAGCTGTTATTCTATTTACTAGAATTTAAAATCAAATAAATTATTGTTAATAGTCTGATAGAAATAATTATTCCTACCCAATATACTTTTTTAAGTGTGAGCCAATGCATAAATTTGCCAAATGTTCAACTGTTTATTATTAGTATAACGTTAAATCGTGATAAATTCGCTGTGAATGGCACACTAATTGAACATCGGCGCTAAAGCCATATGTGTAATGTATATATTTCTTTAAACATCGAAATCTTTACTAATTGAATCAGTTTCAGTTTCTCCATCTGAACTCGCATTATCTAGAGCCATATTTGCTCTCGTTTGATGTTGTTTTGAACGATAATGAATTTTCAAATTCGTCTTTCTAGGGAAACCAACATTGCATATATCACAGCTGAAAGATAATGTGAGTATTTATTTAAGTACCAGATCTACTGAAAACGTAAACTAACATACCGATATGGTCGCTCGCCTGTGTGAAGGAACTCATGTTTATTTAAACAGGATTTTGTAAGATATGTTTTTCCGCATAGTCGACAAGCATATGTCAATTTCCTCGTGTGTTTTACACTATAAGTTTGAGAAAGGTGATTATGATAATCGTAAATCAAATATGTTAACTATACCGTTCATGCCGACAACGTGTGGTACTTGTAAAGAAGCGCTGGTCACAATATTTGCATGCGTATGGCATCTCTCCTTGATGTCTAACGCGTATATGCAAATTCAAGAGATGTCGTGTAAAGTACTTTGAGTCACATTCTGGGCATTCAAAGTTCTTTACGCCTGTATGCCTCAAGATATGCACTTTAAGATTGCTGGCGTCTGTAAAACATCTTCCACATTGATCGCAAACGTAGCTCTTACTAGCTCCCCGCTGCTTTACACTACGATTTACTTGATTTCTAGACCTATCAGACGTGGCGCTATCAGAATCTTCTGCTGCCGATTGCAGAGTTTCGTCCATCTCAATACAATCGTTTTTTGCCACTACCAATGCCTTTTGCAGTCTAGTAGAATTAACACTCTTATCACATTCTGTTTCTGAGCGTACTCGGGCTAACATAACCCTCCGTCGATGATGAGCCGAATCAGTAATTGAGGTTGTGTTGGTGCTTGACGTTTGTTTTGGTGAGCGCGCTCTTACAGCTTGAGCTTGCAGAGATGTTTGTTTTGCTTCTACGCGAGCACGCACAATTTTACGCTCCGGCTGTTTCCTTATATTTATCGCTGTGGATACGCCCCTTTTCTTTGCAGAATACAGGGGATCTATAGCTGATGTATCCCTTCCTATACTATCACGCAGAACTATTTGTATTTTGATACAGCGCTCTCGAAATGCTATGGAGTGGTTCAAATCCAAGTAACAACAGGTGCAAATGTGCTTAGGCATCTCCTCTTCGTCATTCAACTAAAAGAGAGCTAACTTAAAAACACAGATAAACATATCAATGTAGACATATTTTCGAAATACCCTAATTCCTGTCAGTATATCGATCTTATGTAGTAGATCCTCATTTTCCTGGTGAAAGAGATTTTTGGCATTGAGATTGTAAATTTGTTCACCACACGTTCTGCATAAAACCATTTTCGACATTTTAATAAATCAATTGATCTGTCCAAAATAAGGCTATATTTTAATTCATTTCACTACCAAAATCAAAGTGTGAATGACATAAATTCAGCTGATGATTACGGTATGATGTGAATGTCAAAAATGTGGCGCAATTATTTAATGTGTTCTTGTTCTACACGATAATAAACTCTATTATACATCAAGTCCAACTATTATTGAATCCGGAAACACTATTGTATTATCTGAAATTGCTATTTCTTTAATGTCATCAATTTGACCATTGAGCGCTTCGCTAGCTCTCTTCTGATGCTGTTTTGTACGACAATGTATTCTTAAGCCTGGCTTTCGGGGAAACGCCACATTACACAAGTCGCAACTAAAATATGGAAATGTATATAATATGTATGTATGTATCTCGTTATTCAATGTGGCATACCGATATGGTCTCAATCCAGTGTGCAGAAATTCGTGTTTATTCAAACATGATTTAGTATTATATTTTTTTCCACATATTTTGCACTCATATGACCAACTTCTTATATGCCGTACTCTGTAATGGAGAAAAGATCATGAAAAACTTGTGAACTACTGCAATTAAATTCTTACTGTTCGTGGCGTTGACGCGTGCTGGCGGAATAGAAGCGCTGATCGCAAAATTTGCAGAGATACGGCATCTCGCCTTGGTGTTTAACCCGAATATGTAATTGTAGTAGATATTTCGAGTAGTGCTTAATGCCACATTCGGCACATTCAAAGTTTTTTTCGCCCTTGTGACGCAATATGTGAATATCCAAGTTTTTGGGACTCGAAGATTGATGGCCGCATAGGTCACAGATAAAAACTTTCGGATTTGCCGGTGGCTTTACATTATTGACTTTACTCTTCCTATACTGTCTCTTGCCTGCCATACTATCCTTATCCTGTGCTAGCTGAGATGGAAGGGCAGAGGATACAGCAGGTGAACTACGCGACGAAACCACTTTATCAAGCGCTACTTCGTGAAACAATTCTGTTTCCTCAAAGTCACTAAATTCATTGCTCTCGCTCTTTGAATTATTAGGATTCTCTGCACATTTACTTAGACTGCCTAGTGTTGTAGTGCCTGAGCTTTCATTGTCATCCGCTTCATTTAGGTCTGGCTGAACAGTCGTAGTATGCATATTTGTAGGTGAATTGTCATTAGAACATGTTTTTTGTCTTGTTTTGTCTGGCTTTGGTGTATTAGTTTTTTGTTTACGAGTGCGTAAAATACGGATTTCCTGGTGTGGTTTACTCAAGTTCTCTGTATCTGACGTATTTAGAATGAGATTCTCTAATTGAGCTGTTGTTGTATTCTGTAATTTTTTAGGTGTTCCATGGCTAGATTCTGGTTCTGTGGGTGTTGTATTTAGCGGGTCTCCCATCTTTGGCTTTGGTTTTGTAGCTTGTAAAAAATGTTCCGTTTTCAAGCATCTCTCTCGAAAAGCTATTGAATGGTATAGGTCCAAGTGACAACAGGTACAAATATGCCTTGGCATATGCTGGTCATCCTTTAACTATAATCAAATATACACATGATTACGTGCGTGGATATGTATGTACATATTTGTAATTACCCGTATTCCAGTAAGAGTTTCAATGTCATTAAGTATCTCATTGTCATCTTGGTCAAAGAGATTCTTGGCGTTCGGATTTAAAATCATTACTGCACAAGTTCTGCATTTGTTCGTCATTCTACAAACTTTCATCTACCACAATGTTTTCTTTGCAAAATGATAATAGCGTTTTAAAGAAACAGGTATGTTATTCTATTGTTAGTATATTTTGGTATATGGACAAGAGAAATACTACAAAAAATATCGATAGCACAATAATCTAAAACGTACCCATAAATATTTATTTGAAATGATTGTGGGCTTTTATTTAATATATTTTCAAACTGTAATAAAATATTTCACTAGGGCATATATATGTATAACTACGATAGAATTTTTGTAATAATTAATTTTATTCCAAAATAATATTTAAAAATTATCATTCGATGGTGAAAACAGGCAACAAACTCATTGAATAAAACAAATATAAAACCGTATTATTCGTCGAGTTCTTCAATAATAGAATCGGGAAGGTCAAAACCTATATCTTCATCGCTGACTTCTCTCATTTCAGCGTCAGGATAATCCCTTCTGCCAAACTGAGCCATTCGCCTCTGATGCAATTTTGTAAGATAATGATTTCTTAAATATGTGGATCCTTTAAAATCCTTATTGCATGTTTCACATCTGAATTAAAAAAATACAAAATATTTAAAATTTGAATACAGGGTAATACGAAGACATACCGATGAGTTATTTCTCCCTTGACATGCACTTCTTTGTGCTTATCCAGACTAATTTTGCTTATGAATGTTTGGTCGCATATGTCACATTCGAAAGGCAATTCATTTGGATGATATTTTCTGAGATTTGCGAATAAAAGTTTGTTAAATAGGCTAAATTTAATATAATTATGATGGACTAACCGTTCATGTCGGCAACGACTAGGACTGTTGCGGAAAGCCATACCGCAATATTTACATACAAATGGCTTTTCACCCTTATGATGCACACGTATATGAAGCTTTAATAGGGGGCGGGTAAAAAACTTACGGCAGCATTCCTCACACTCAAACTTTTTAACTCCAGAGTGTCGCAGTGCATGGTCCTTCATGTTACTTAAATCGCGGAAGGACCACCCGCAATGCTCACAGACATACTTTTTCTCGAGCGACATTTCTTTTGGCTTTTTCTTCCTAAGCTTTGTTGCTTTATCATGCCGGGATGCTGGTGCATATTTTTGATCTTGTACTGATCTGAATCTTTTTGTCGGGCTAGGAGCAATGGATGCAGTTGGCCTAACTACCGCAAGTGCCAAATCATCGGATGATAGATGTGAGGTTGCAATAGATTGTAAGCCGTTTTTTGGGGAGCTGTTCCTTACTAATATGCCGGGGCGATTTACTATTTGACGTCCATTATTTGGATCTCGACAACGCAAGAGTCGTACTCGAGGCGAACCATGGCGTGGGCTTAGAACTCTTCGTACTTCTTCGTTCTTTTGTTTGCACTCATTTCTTGACAATTCTTCTTTATATCCTGGACTGTTTACAAGTCTATTTTTTAATTTGATCGCATCTTTTTCGCGGTTATACAATGGATCAATATACTGAGATTCAACTGAAGCATTTTTGCTAGGGACGATTTCGTCTTGCTTCAAGCTTATTAACTGTTTGTTCGCATCTAAACAGCGTTCCCGAAAGGCGATTGCGTGATCTAAATCCAAATAACAACAGGAACATATATGGGTAGGCATTTGAGGATCATAGGACAACTAAAAAGAAAACTGCAAATGAGTAGGACCGAGACACGGCATCATAAACCGACTTACCCTAATTCCAGTAATTGATTGAATGTTTTGTCGAATATCTTCATTTTCTTCTTTAAAGAGGTTCCTGGGATTCAGGTGAAAAATCGGTTCTGCGCAAGTTCTGCAGCATATCGGCATTGTGCTGTTATTTTTTCTTCTATTGGTTTGTTTACAAATTGTTAAATTGAAACACCACCAGTGTGCACACACAAATAGTTAAAAATTACCTAAAAATGCCATGCAACCAATCAAAAGATATGTATTAAATAAAATCACTAACCAGAGAACACATAGACTAGACATCTAGAACAAATTTTTTCACCGGCGAAAAAATGCGCTGAGGAGACTACACAACTTCGTATTTGCTCGGCTCAGTCTCTTGAGGCTCAAGCATTGAAAATAAGGCAAGACAAAATCAGTGTGCTGCGAGCGCTGCCACGAAATGCACGCATTACCAAATGAAGCACGGCTATGCGCTCTTTTTCCCTTGCTCACTCTCTCCCTCTCTTTATGCTCTCTCTCTATGGTCTCTCGAATGGCAGCAGCGCACAAAAATTGAAAATTGTTCGCGACGATCTGAGCTCGTTCCTTTTGAGTGAAGGGTATACCGAAATTTGTAAAGCGTTCGCCACGTTCATGCAAACAAAATGTAAGCGTTTCGATGGTTATTCGTGGGAAGGGTATGAAAGCGTTGATACGCATAAACAATATGATTTCGCGACGGGCAAGTACACACACACTTGTAGTCCCTTGCTTCATGTATGAGCATTTGTGACCTGCGTGCGTTACTCTTGCTGCTTGTAGCAATTTTAAAGCCCAGCATTTGCATTTGGTCGGTCTTATGGACTGTCATAACCACTTTACACAGATGTACTATGTATGAACATACATACATACATACATATGTACATAAGTACATTTATATATTATTATTGCTAATCATGTTTATAAATGTGTCTATATATAATTAAAATTATTTTATACACATTTTTAACCGAAAAAATTATCGTAAAACACTACTAACTTTATTAAATGCTTTGCAATATATGAAATACACATGTCATATTATACTCAAGCTTTACTCATTATGCATTATCATTGCATTAAGTCATAATGGCCCATTTGATAGTCACCCTACGATTCAAATCATACAAAATTTACAAAATAATAATTCCAGAGACAATTAGCTTGCCATCCCATACAAGCATACACATACACAAATGTATGTATGCATGTGCTCACTTCACAAGGCAGACCAACGGCAAATTTTGGGCTTTACAATTTGCACAGCCTGTTCTGCACAGAAAGAATACATTTTCGCGACGAGCATGCACACACACATTTACATGGGCATCAATACTTACAAACCCTGCCGCAGGTAGCAAGAATAGAGTTGCTTACACAAGCACACAAATGATAGCGAGGGACTGACAATGTGTGTGTGCATGGTCGTCGCCTAAGCATTTTTTATGTGTGCAACTTTTGGGCTGATAATAGACGAAAATACTGAGAAAGAATTGAGTTTTGCGACGCACGCACAGAAAAGCACATACACGTAGCAAGGATGTAAATGTGTGTGTGCATGCTCGTCGCGAAAATGTATTCTTTCTGTGCAGAACAGGCTGTGCAAATTGTAAAGCCCAAAATTTGCCGTTGGTCTGCCTTGTGAAGTGAGCACATGCATACATACATTTGTGTATGTGTATGCTTGTATGGGATGGCAAGCTAATTGTCTCTGGAATTATTATTTTGTAAATTTTGTATGATTTGAATCGTAGGGTGACTATCAAATGGGCCATTATGACTTAATGCAATGATAATGCATAATGAGTAAAGCTTGAGTATAATATGACATGTGTATTTCATATATTGCAAAGCATTTAATAAAGTTAGTAGTGTTTTACGATAATTTTTTCGGTTAAAAATGTGTATAAAATAATTTTAATTATATATAGACACATTTATAAACATGATTAGCAATAATAATATATAAATGTACTTATGTACATATGTATGTATGTATGTATGTTCATACATAGTACATCTGTGTAAAGTGGTTATGACAGTCCATAAGACCGACCAAATGCAAATGCTGGGCTTTAAAATTGCTACAAGCAGCAAGAGTAACGCACGCAGGTCACAAATGCTCATACATGAAGCAAGGGACTACAAGTGTGTGTGTACTTGCCCGTCGCGAAATCATATTGTTTATGCGTATCAACGCTTTCATACCCTTCCCACGAATAACCATCGAAACGCTTACATTTTGTTTGCATGAACGTGGCGAACGCTTTACAAATTTCGGTATACCCTTCACTCAAAAGGAACGAGCTCAGATCGTCGCGAACAATTTTCAATTTTTGTGCGCTGCTGCCATTCGAGAGACCATAGAGAGAGAGCATAAAGAGAGGGAGAGAGTGAGCAAGGGAAAAAGAGCGCATAGCCGTGCTTCATTTGGTAATGCGTGCATTTCGTGGCAGCGCTCGCAGCACACTGATTTTGTCTTGCCTTATTTTCAATGCTTGAGCCTCAAGAGACTGAGCCGAGCAAATACGAAGTTGTGTAGTCTCCTCAGCGCATTTTTTCGCCGGTGAAAAAATTTGTTCTAGATGTCTAGTCTATGTGTTCTCTGGTTAGTGATAAAATACAATTTTAACCAGCAAAAACCTGCAAATATTCTTAAATAATATTATTTTTTATATAAGTATATGATTTATAATTTATCTCTATCTGTTGTATTTTTTAGTTATTAAAATTAAAACTAAATTATTAATTTAAAAATGGTTGGTATTTTGTTTCAGTTATTTTAAAAATCGTGAATCGCCTGTGTATACCTATTGATTATCGAACAGCTGTGAATAAAACTATCAGACGGTCGCTTACGAATTTCTCATTTGCGCGGAAATTAAAAATTTGTATGTATCTTTCTGGAGTATAATTGTTATATTTAAAATATCGCATAATGAGTGACTTACGTACACTATGTCGCACTTGTGGAATAACAATAAATACAAAGCATGATACTAAACTATTTGAGGAATTTAACTATCATTTAGTTACTTTACTCGAAGACATCACAGACATGTTGGTGAGATTGTTTAACTATTTTGGATTATTTAAAACTTACTTATATATATATATATATATATATATATATATATATATATATATATATATATATATATATATATATATATATATATACAGATTGAAAATGACATTGCCATGCCGGAACACATTTGCATTACATGTAAATCGATGTTAGATCAAATCGTTAAATTCCGATCCAATTGCCTGAGTACACATAAGAAACTAATAGCTGTGAAAATGAAGAATTTACAAAGCAACATTCTTGCCCCTGAAAGTCGCTCAAAAGTTAATATCGTTTTTGACAATATAGAATATGATACAACCGAAAGCAGTAAGACCTGTGATGAACAACAAGCAACAACAAACCTGGGTAATGATATCCACAGGTACAGCAAAGCATCAGTTGACGTTCCTGCAAAAAGGACACCTCAAGTGAAAAATAAAAGGATATATAAGTCCAAAGAAGCCAAAACGTGGATCTGTGAACAGTGCGGTGGGGAATTTAAATGTTCCACGTATTTAAAATTGCATATGTTGCGCCACACTGGAACTAAGAAATTTGAGTGTGACATTTGTAAGAGGGGATACTATACTAAGAACGAGATGGAGCGCCATAAAATTTTACATACCAATGCTAGACCATACGCCTGTCGTTTCTGTGATAAAACCTTTCGAGGCACTAGTAGTAAGACAGTTCACGAAAGGTTTGCTTAATACAATATAATATACGCATACATTTATAACATTTTTCATTATTCTAGAGCACATACAAACGAGCGACCATTTGTTTGCCAGTACTGTGATAAAACCTTCAGGTCTACTTCGGTACGGAAAATGCATGAACGTGTGCACGTTAATCAACGAAACTATCAGTAAATAATATATTTAAGTTTTGATATATTGATAAAGTAATTTCTTTTATAGCTGTGAGCCGTGCGACCAATGGTTTTTACGACCTTCACATTTATTATTACATCAACAAACCAAGCTCCACAAAAATAAAACCTCAAGCGGATAGATTTTGTTTTTACCTACATATGTAAATTTATTTACAAATTGAAGCAATGCAAGCTGAACTAAATATAATCGTCACCATGTGATTGTCAATAACAATTGAACAGCTGATATTATTTTGTGTGAATGGCTAATTTGCGTTCAGAGAGTTTTTTGGAGGAGCGTACGCTGCTCTGCAGAAAGAATTAAAGTAAAGACAAGACAAAATGACAAGAATTCATTATTTCATGGAGTGTCGTCTTTAACCGCATATAAAGTGGATACAAAACAACAGTTTTCTGCTTTGGAAATTTTATACTGTTAAGCAGGGCGTAATTGCCTGCTTATCGATGCAAATGATGATAATTTAAATAAAATTCTTTGAAAACACAGCTTAAAACATGCTGAGATCTCGGGATATAAATAATAAAAATCGCTTCAAAAGAGAAGATAAAGTGCAACTTATAGCTGCAGTTAAGGTTAGACGACTACTATGGGATATGAGAGATAATGAGCACAATGATCTTATAAGTATTAAAGCGGCTTGGAAATCGGTTGCAGCTGATCTGGGCAGAGAACGTAAGTGTTTCGTTTTTCTTATAAATTTATATTTAATGAGAACTCACTTTCATCTAAAATAGCACAAGAATGCAAAGTCGCTTGGCGTTCGCTACGTCAGAGCTATCGTTACCATTGTAAAACAGCGCATACCCGCATACAGTTGGATGATGGGGGTGAGGGCGAAGCTGATCCATTAGAAACCCCAGACATTCAATGGGAGTTTGCCGAGGATATGTCGTTCTTGCAAGATTTGTTAAAGAACAGAGAGTAAGTATTCCATCTGTTGAATTTTCCTCAAGCTTATTCTATGTTAAACATTTCAGCCAGAGTTTGGAATCAGCACAATTGGATGACAGCTCTTCTGGCAACAATACACTAGAAGAATATACAGATATGGAATACTTGGATAGCGCTTACATTAATAATTGTGATGATGATGTCGACGTCGAAGACATAACTGTTACCATTGATGATGAAGCCCCGGTAGATTGTTTTGTATTTAATTTTTCCCCCATGATTTAAGATTCTCGTCATCATTTACAGAAGATAGATCATCAAGATGTACTATGTAGAACATGTGCGCAGCCGATAAATTCTCTGACCTGTCAGAATCTGTTTAACCCAGAAAATCATAAACTTTTGTGCGAAATTAAAGCACTAACAGAACTCAGCGTAAGTAAGGCTGAGCATACCAAACTTCTATGGCGTCTAATATTATTCTTTATTTTGTTTAGTTGAAACAAGAAGAGGGCCTATCAGATTTTATTTGCCAACGCTGTCAACATAATCTGCACATAGCAACAGAATTTCGCAGAGTTTGCATTGAGTCGCAGACACACGTCCTGATCAAAGTACAAATAAAGGAGGAGACCACGGAATCAGAAGTAATAGCATATCCCGAGTTTAACATTGTTGAGAGTGCGAGTGACACGGAGATAGCCGTGGAAGAACAGCGACTGGAAAATGTCGAAATATCGGAAGATGAAAATTATTACGAGGAAATCGAAGTACAACCGTTACAATCTACAGCATCACCTCCATCGTCATCCAACATCAAATTGCAAGAGGAGAGCAAAAATCCCAAGTGCCAGTGTCATCAGTGTGGATTGACATTTACCAGTCAGGACTTATTAAAAATGCACATGCATCAAAGTCATGACATGCAGCTTCATACGCGGTTGGTGTCAATATATATAATGTCTGTGAATATAAGTTTTTTATCTAATTTATAATTTTAGATTTGTGTGCAAACATTGTGGGCATGATTTCAAATACTCAGCACCCCTCGTTGAACATCTGAAGAGTATCGGGATTAGTTTTGGATACAAGTGCGAGGACTGCGGTCAAAAGTTTCACAGTAGGCATTTCCTTAAGAAGCATAAGAGACGAGTTCATGGGCAGGCCGACGAACATATTTGTCATATGTGCGGTAAAAATTTTACAACTGGATTTAATCTGAGGAACCATATTGTTCGACACTCTGGCAGCCGTCCTCATAAGTGCAAATTATGCAGCGCCGCATTTTCGACGACAGCCGAGCTAAACAATCATCAACGCACCCACGACAATGTGCGTCCATATCCATGTCGTTATGCATGCGGAAAATCGTTTCGTCACTGCAGCAATCGCAGCACTCATGAGAGGTGAGCAAAATAAAATACGAAGAAATTTGATATTTCAATTAAAAGGATTTGCAGAGTACATATGGCTGGAAATCTCCGCCCCTTCCAATGCGACTACTGCGACAAAACGTTTGTGACCAAAGGGGATTGCAGAGCGCATCAAATGGTTCATACTATGAGCCGTGATTTTAGGTAGTTGCATTAATGAAAACATCTATTGTGTCAGTTTAATAACACATGTCTTTTCATCTGTTCCACAGCTGTGACATTTGTGAGCAAAGCTTTAAGTTGCAGAAGCATTATTTGCAGCACTTGAACACCAAATCGCATAAAAAAACCGAGGATAATGTAAAGTCTTTGAAGGAAAAAGAATCTGTGGCTTAAATGCATTAAACAACTATTTACGAATTGCTAGAAGAATATGCAATTTGAAGTCCTTATTTCAAATTATTTTGAAATCGAATTAGCTAATATACCTATAATATACTAAGGAATAGTAAATTGTTGATATTTTTCATCAAATCATGCTTGAGCAGGTTTAAATTATTCTAAGCAGAAATGTTTTTTTATTTTAATAGTCAAATCCAGAAAGCAAACTACTTTTAGGAGCTCGTTAAACTGAAATGAAAATGAACTATTTTTATAATGAACACATTGAAATGTTGTAAAGTTCAATTTTAATAGCTAAAATATCAAATATATATGTAAATGCACAAAATTGATGGATTTTAAGATAATTAAGTCACAAATTATTAGTAGAGAGACGTTTTTGATTCGCCTTGGCTCTAATGATCACCAATTCCATTGCCATTTTGTTTGGCTTTATCGCCGGATGCAATAAACGTGGTGACATCCAGTTTAGTGGCCAGAGCCACGACCACGTCCTTAGACTGTGCATTTTGTTTAACAATTAAAACACTGGGATCAACCTCCAGCACTCGCGCCAGCTTGCCTAATATGTCAGTCTCAGTCAGACGAATGATTCGCTTGTTAAGGGCCTTGATCGCGGGGTCGCTCAGCTGACGATTCATGCTGACAATCTGGCTCAAGAGGGTTTCCTGTGTCACGACGCCCAAAACGCTACTGTAAAGAGATAGCGGACTTTAGCAACATTGACATTAATATTTATACTGTTCACATACCCATCATTCTTGTCGACCATCGGCAGCTGATCCACGCGATGCTGCTTCATAAGCGCAATGGCGCCAGCAAAAGTTTCGTCAGACTTTATCAACGCGAGTGGACTGGGCAGCTGGAGCTGAGCTATGGGCACGTTCCACCACCAGTGACCATGCTCGTTAACTGGCTGCTTGAAGCCGCGGGCCTCCATCCAATTGTCGGATACGAACTTGGTCATGTAGTTACGAATGCCGTCGGGCAGGATAACTACACAGCGCTGGCCAGGCTTCAAAGTGCGTGCATGATCCAGTGCAGCATGCAATGCGCCTCCGCTCGAGCCGCCGCAGAGCAGACCCTCTTCAGCGTTTAGCCGACGGCTCATGGGGAAGCAGTCCGAATCGTACACCTTCGTCCACACATCGACCACCGTCTGGTCAAAGACAGTCGGCGGGAAGTCATAGCCAATGCCCTCGACCTCATAGAACTGGACATCGGTTTTGTTTAGCTCCTGTGGACGGGCCAGCACAGATCCATAGGGATCCACGCCCACGACTTGACAATTGGGCACTTGCTCCTTGATTTTGCGCCCGATACCGGTAATGGTGCCCGCTGTGCCAGCTGCGATCACAACCATATCCACTTTATTATCCAGCTGCCACAGTATTTCAGAGGCTGTGCCGTCATAATGCGCCAAGGGATTGCCCGCATTGCGATACTGATCCAACACAATGGAATTAGGTGTCTTACGCTGCAGCTCCTGGGCCACATAGATGAGACCCTCCGGCGAGTCATAAGCTGCCTCCGTGGGCGTGCGAATAATTTTGGCGCCCAGGGCACGCAGTGCATACACCTTCTCATTGGACATCTTCTCGGGCATGACAATGATGCACTTGTAGCCTCGCACAGCGCAAGCCATCGCCAGTCCAATGCCCGTATTTCCGGACGTAGGCTCTATGATAGTATAGCCCGGTTTCAAAAGTCCTTTCTCCTCCGCATCCTGAACCATGCGATAGCCAATGCGATCCTTGACCGAACCACCCGGATTTAAGAACTCGCACTTGGCATCTAAACAGGAAATATAACTAATTTAGCATGTCTTGACTAATTATAAGAACTATACTAGAATTATGAAGCATTACAGTGCAGTTAATTTTAATTCAATATTCAATTTATAAACAAGAGATAGTGAAAGTTAATCAGTTCCAATTATGAAACTGCTGCTCGTGCAAAACTATACGAAAATATTAATTTTCTATAGTCATATTTATAGCATGCACAGATTAAATAAATTTATTCAATTAAAAAACAAAACTAACTTAGGGAAAATTCCCATTAATTTCGTTAAGATTTCATTGCAACTCACACATCTCGCACTGAATGCCCTCCTTGGCTGGTATATGGTTGAGCTTGACCAGGGGGGTGCATCCAATCACCGTTAGAATGTCCGGCGAAACCTTATTTTCGTGCTGAAAGCCACGTTGCGTATGCGGCGTCTGCTCCTTGGTGCCCAGATGCCAGGTGCATTTCGAGGGTTTGCCCGGATCTATGAAGTTGGCTGGACGCTCGTAGGTCTTGCTCGCTGACATTTTCTGTGGATTTATGAAACGTCGTGGGTGAGTTAATAGTTCAGAGCACGTTTCGTGCTGCTTCGCTGCCGGCTGAGATTGGAATGAGTCGGTAGATGTGTTGTTCAGCTCACAACATCTGGCATCTGGATTGCCTGGGGTCAGTCAGGCGTTGAACCCAGCTTGTATTATCAGCAATTGATATTTTAGTTTATTATTGAATTATATTTGGGCTTAGACGTATCAGCTAATCACGTTGTGTTGTTATTACTGCCATTGTTACCATGTCATCGCCGGCTCTACTTCGCATGTTTGAGAGAATTACGTTTTACCAGATTTGAATGATTTTACACTTTTGCTTCTTGTTTATAATTAACAAACGAGATCTAATTCTATGGCTTCGTCTATTCCAATTGGGACTGCCTTTGCCTACTGTTTCTTTCCCAACAGGTTTTTCTGTACACCTAGTTAACCCATAAGGAAATTCTGGTACACAAAATGCATTCCAAGTGCATTGAACCTAGAAAGCCGGAAAAATCTCAGACAAGCTGTGCACACGTACACATATATTTTTTACCCTATTATCTATTAAATAGCTATCATTTATCTATACATACATACGTACATGTATTTTTATCAATATATTTGTAAACTTCTCTTATCACTCTAATTAGTTCTCACCTGTGTATGGTATGTGTATATTTCCTTAATGTATAATTAATATAAATTGATGTGTTTTCACAGAATATCTGTATGTATATATATCGCTGCCAACAACGTATTATAAATACTTTTTATAACAAAATAGAAATACACGTGCAATATATAGTGCCTCGTTGTACATAGTTGCTTTCCATAGATCCGTGGCTGTTCTGGCAGACAGATGTATAAGTGCGCTATTATATATGTACACACGCACACATGCACACACGTGCGTGTGCTACGCTAAGTTGAGCAGTGCTGTGAAGTCTTAGATAAGTGTTGACAAATGCTAAACTTCCATAAAGGAGTTGAATGGGCCTTTAATATATTAAATAGTGGAAATTAAATTTACGTATGCATTTCATGTTTGTATAATATTCTTAATATACATTTATTTTATATATTTTAGTTTTTATTTTTGTATGCCATTTTCAGTCGCTTATTATAATATCTGTCATGCTTTAATAACAGCCACCATTAACGGCCTTTTTCAAATGGCAGCAGTTTTACAAATTTTTTGCAACTATTAAGAACTTACTTTTATTTAAAAAAGTATAACATTTTTGACAGTTACGCTAAAAAGAATTTTAATCATAATAATATATATTAGTTATTTATGGAAAATAGAGCTAAATTTATGAGTGGAGCTTAAGCAGAATTTATGTATAATTTAAATATTGTTATGCTAAAATATAATTGTTTTCTAAGGTCAAGGTATGCATACTTTATAAATTTTTGTCATTTGTATGTGTCGTTTGGTTATTGCTTAAAAGATTAGAAATTGTTCAGCTTTCGATTTGTGCGCCCCTAGTATTAGTATTAGGTGGGAAAAATGAAATAGGAAGTGATAAGCGCTACTTCAGATTCAACTAAGTCAAAGAGCAATGTGAGCGCAAGCCCACACATTCTGCTTCGGGTCCCATTCTCTTTGGGTTTTGGGTTTGAGCAACGAATATATGTACATACTATATGTATTAATGAGAAAGCATTATCATTTCGCCGCGAGCGCTCGACTGAAATAGTCGATTTTTGAATAGAGTTTCACTATGCTCATTTTTTTCTAAATTCCAGTCATTCTCTCTCCCTCTCTGCTCTTTAAAATATATTGTTATATCTACATACGTTTATATGTATTCTTTCTTTCCTTCTAAAATAAAGAGCTTATCGACCTTTTTATTGAGTTTTGTATGCTTTTGCAAAATGTTTGATCTACATCAAATTTTTGTCATCTTAAAGTCAAATAAAATAGGAAGTGATAAGCGCTACTTCAGATTCAACTAAGTCAATAGCAACGCCCACCCATTGAATGCTGTTTATTACTTTCTCGGCAATCAGTTTATTTGTTCAAAGAACTATGTACGTCACATTCTTATCAGATTTATAATGCCTTATCGCAATGAATTGTGTAGGTAAGTAAATACAAATTTATGTACCTACCTTATGCATTAACAGTACATAAAATAATAAAAATTTGATGTTTGCTTTTGAAAATAAAAACGTGTGATTATTTATTACACGTGTGATTATTAATTATGGCTTATTGTTGCTTTTTCCATATCAATTGCGTAAAGCGTTTTCAAATTCGTTCATAATTTCAATTATTGGATCATTTATGTATTTGCGTACCTCCCAGTTAGTCGCAAAGTCACCATGGTGCCACAACGGATCATCCATGTGATGCATGACCTTGTTGGGCAGAGTATCCGCCAGTCGTTCAACGTCTTTAACGGCGGCCATTTCATCGTTGTCCGAGTACCACAGGTGTGTCTTGCAGGTAATTAGATGGGTTGGGTAATCAGGCGGCACTTCCGCACCATATACATTCAAGTTCTTCTTCTTGCCAAAGTCATACTCTCTAAAGTGCCCCGACTGTTGCTCCTGCAGATAGTGCAAGAACTGATTGGTGGAAACTCCAGCGGGAGTTGTAATTGCATTGATCGCAGCGGCAGTCTGTAGATAAAATAATATAATCAATATGATATCTTTTTATTTCAGATTGAGGCTCACCGAATTGGTGCGTCCGTCGGTGTTATGGAGCTTTTTGCAGTATTTGAGAAATCTTGAGTCCGGTCCGCAGGTGTTGTAGAGTAAGAGCAGTATGAAGTCATTGTAGGGCAGAAACTCCATTGACTCCAGCATGAGGGCGTAGGTGGTTCGATGCCCCAGATATGGTCCAGTCGCGTGGGCCAACGGAAAGTCCATGTTATCCATGTAGGCCACGGGAGCCAGCAACTGGGCGGTCTTTATCTTGGCATTGTACTCGGGACGTGCAGACATTAGTGCTAGAAACACTGTCGTGCCCTGGGAGTGGCCAACATAGTGAATGGACTTTTGACCCTGTCCGTTTGTCTCCAGCGCATAGTCGATCATAGCCGCAATATCGAAGTAGCCAATTTCATGCCAGCTAAAGCGCCAGAAGTAGGGATGCTGCGTGGCCAGCCTGGTGTGATTGCGAGAGTACGTATTCCCACGTGCATTGCCAATCCACACATCGTAACCGGCATCGACCAGCTGAAAGGCCAAAGCATTATCCGGCCCCATCGTGATCCAGTTGTCGGAGCTGCCCAATATGCCGTGCTGCAGAAGCACAATGGGGCGAAGGGCTTTCTGATTTTGCAGCTTGTGGGAATAGGGTATGCGAAAGACTCCAATGATGTAGCCATCCTCGGTGGTCACGTGATGCAGCTCTGCAGGGTACTCATGAGCCCTAATGAGATCATCCTATGTGGAGTAACTTCGTAAGCTCTCTACTTATGGCTTATTAGGTTTCTACTTGCCGTTTTAAGTCGGGGATTCAGCTTCAGGTGTCCATCTGGATCGTTGAAGAGTTGATAGAAGTCGACGCCATCAAAATTATATGGGTCTAACCTAGGTGGCGCACATTGAGCAACTATCGCCAGGTACAGAACCGATAGAGCAGCGATCAAGCATTTCTCCATGTTGCGGCGGGACTGGCGATTCCCAATATAAAACTAGCATACATAAAGAACATGGCTAAAGGCTTTTTCTGTCTAATCTGTCGATAAGAGTTAATCGGACATAAACTTAAGAGGTTCATAAAATCATTCTGCTAAAAATACTTTATTATTACGCTCGGCATAGACGTTTATTATCCCTTTGATAAAACAAAATGCATAAATAGTATATAATAATAATATGTATTATGGTATATGACACTAGAGTGTCCTGTAATCTTAATTGAACAATGTAAAACACTATAGCTTTGTATACCTATGTATGTATATTTGTTTAAATATTTTATTGAACTATTTCAGCTTCAGCAGCCCACTCGAGCCGGAATTCGTTTTATTTGATTGTCCCCGCCCACCTTGAGCACAGCCAACATGCCCTGCACTGTGTGGGCTTCGATGTGACAGTGATAGCTCCAGAAGCCGGGATTATCAGAGATGAAGCGTAAAATCACGTAGCCCAGTCCGGGCACCTGCACAGTGTCCTTGGCTACGGCGGCATAGTCATTGGACAGACGAGGCAGACGTCCACGTCGGTCCAGCTCGCGTATCTGTGGATGTATTAAAGTTATTGGCGATTCGCATTATTAATTTAATTATTCACTATTCTGGCTGTCTTACATTTTTCAAGTCATTCTGATTACCCAGCACTCCCTGGCCGACCAGGCGGAAGGTGTAGCCATGCAGATGGATGGGATGTGTGGGTTCCATGTGGTTGGTCACAACCATTTCGATGGCCCGATAGGCAGGCAGGCGTATCACATGAACACCCTCGCACAGCTCCCGGGCACAATTGCGTCCTTGTGCGGCGAGCGAGCTGCGATTGCTATAGTATCCATCATCCTTGTACAGATGGCGGCCTTGGAGCAACGAAATACCAGGTGAAATGTAGCTAATCTCATCGATTTGGAAGAGTAGTTCGCCATTTGGCGCCTGCCGTGTGCTCAGACTGGAATAGTACGTCAAGAACTTGGTATAGCTTGGCCAGGGCACGGGCTCCACGGAGCGCAGCGACAGCGTGCCCACATCTTGGTCTTTGCTGAACTGCCGCAACGTTAACGAAGAATTCTTCAGGGGCTTGAAGCGAAAATCATTGATGAATAACGGTGGCTCGTCCTGATCTCTGGACTGGCGGCTGCCCAGTATATCGCCCTGGGGCAGCTCACTGCGAGCGGCTCCCCGATAGCTGAGTACCGCGCCCTGATACAGCTTGCGATCCGCACACTGCTCATAGCCACGGACGCGCACCCAATAGTTCTTGGCATATTGGTTCGCCTCCAGCACAAAGTCGAAGCGCTCCGCTGAGGTCAGAAAGAAGCCATCGGCCAGCACCGGCTCAATGTCGTTGCCATCGGTGCTGATGATCAGCAGCTTGTGCTGCTCAATGGAGAACTCGACGGGACAATTGAAGATGCCGTTGAGCAGGACGCGCATGCGATAGCGATAGCCAGGCGTCACCCGCAGTCGCTCATAGCGGTGCCTGGCATCCTGGTCGGGCAGCTGGCTGAGATGGTTGCGGCCCTTGCCATTGATCAGTATGTTGCGCACCTGCTGTATGTCGTAGTCGTAGAATATATCCTGCACCATCAGAGCGTGCTCCACCAGATCGTAGTCGTAGAGGCGTGCATGGGGATTCGCCTGATGGGGCTGGCGCACGATCAGATTACCGGCCACGCCGAAGCCACGCTGCCAGCCCATATGGCTGTGGTACCAGAGGCTGCCACTGCGATCGGCCAGGAACTCATAGCGAAACACCTCGCCCGGCTCCACCGGATACTGGGTGACATGCGGCACGCCATCCATTTCGGGACTGCGACTCATATGGATACCGTGCCAGTGCATGGTGGTGGGTTCATTCAGATAGTTCAGCACATCGACGACCACAGTGTCGTTCTCACACAGCTCTATAGCCGGGCCGGGCACCATCCTATTGACGGCCATAACGGGCGATGCAACGCCGTCTCCATAGATGCATCGCTCGTCCGCGCAGGCGCGCTCATCGAACTGGCAGCGCTGGCACTCGGGGCCCAAGCGACGATAGTTGTGCACCACCAGCTGGTAGTAGCAGCTCTGGCTCTGACCCTGCTGGCAAACGCGGCGACAAGGATGACGCTCAAATCCACTGAAGCTGGATATATCCGCCTGGCCGTAGTCATCCTTCAGCTGCAAGCCAGCACTCAAGTGACTCTCCTTCTTGGTCTTATTTCTGTGCGACCAGGGAAACGTGAGCCAGTCAATTTTCGCACTCGACTCCTGCTCCAGATTCTCCGGCTTCAGATTCTGCTGAGCCAGTGCGAAATCCACCACAAGGCACCACATCAAGCAGATTCGATGCCATCTATAATGGCTTTTACTTTTCGTAACTATCATGACAAACCTCAACCTTCAACTGCGCCCAAAGGCCTAGAGCAACGCCCGAAGAAAGTTTGGAAATTCAAGCCAAACCGATTTGGGCATGCGCAGCACGTGCAAATCACAAATGCTGAGCTGCATTTTATTTGCCTTTGATTGATTGAAGACTAAGAACGCCCAAATGATGTGTGATCGACTCACAGATACCCTCTCTGAGTGGAAGAGCGACAGGATTCACAGCTAGAGCAGAAAAGATTTGTTCACTTTCAGTGTCAAATTTAAAAATTAAATTAAATTACAATAATTTAACTTTTTTTTAATGTAATAGCTCTTTTGAATATAATTTATAATAAGCTTGTATTATTTGATTGTTATTAATAATTATACATAAGTACATGAAGCATATTTACGTTTTTGTAAATATTATCCCAAGTAGAAATTATTCAAAAGATATTACTATGAATATGTTTGAATAAATATGTATATATATTTTTTATTTCATTTCAAAATTGAAATTGAATTATTTTTAATATGCATATACATACATATATATTTGAGAAAGTCAAAAGTTTTCTTCAGTACAGAAAATTTGAGTATACAAATAAAAATAAAGAATTTTTATTAATTTCATTCATGATTTGAATTTGCTTGATATTCATTTATATTTAAATATTTTAAGTAATAAATACATACATATATGTACGTATGTCTCCAGCTCATTACAAAAACAAATTCAAATTCCATATTATAAATAACTTTTTATCTATATTTGTTAATTTATGTTTAAAATACAGATGAAATATTAGAAGAGTGAATAAAATTGTTGTTCAGAGAAATTATGCCCCAGGTTCCGCAATTTCGGGACCAGCGGGTGAGGTTGATACGGTCGGTGCTGCGGTGGCAGTACTCATTAGACTAATTACGCCACAGGCGATGGGCTCACCAACGGACATCTCCTCGTTCTGGTAGGCCAGGGCATTGGGCACGGACAACGCCGAGGAGAAGACCTCGGCATTGAGCGCTGTGTTCAGGTCGATGGGTTTGCTGTGTATGACGACGGAACGGCCAACGATGCCATTGAAGCCAAAGAGCTGCAGGTACATGCTCATGAACACGGCCGAGATTTTGCCGTCTGGCTTCACCTCCAGGTTTCCCAGCTGCCGAGAGGAATGAGAGTTTCGTGGCTAAACTGGATAGCTGGCAATGAGTTGGACTTACAAAGTTGTTGGGAAACTGTCCGCCCGTGGTCTTGCAGCCCTCGCTAACATCGCCGTATGTGTGTATGTGCAGTGCGTGCTTCCCCGGCGGCAGCCCGGTGATGTTGATGGTCACCTTGATGTCGCTGTTGTAGGGCAGCTGCTGGAAGGTTATCATGCCGGCTGCGCCTGCTGATTCGCCCTCGCCGTTTAGTACGGCGCCCGCCTGCCACTGTGGCACCTGCGAGGAGAGGTATAAGCAGTCATTGAGAGCCGTGGTACAGTGTGGCAAGAACCTACGAAAGAGTAGCCCACATATGGTGGATGCGGCTGGAGCAGTGGACTTAGCAGTGCGGCGGCACCAATTCCGCCAATGACCGGACCAATGCCAGCCAGCGGCACCGACATGCGCTCGTAGCGTTTCACCTTTGTGCCGGCCACCACTTTGATGTCGTCGATGTTGCGGGTCAGATTAGCTGGTCCGGGTCTCAGCCGATCCAGCAAATTTTGCGCGCCGCCAGGCACAAAAATGCTATTTAATAGCATAAATGCCAATATGGGTCTGAAGCGGAACATCGCGGTTAATTGACGCTCTCGAATTGTGTGTTCTATAGAGATCCGTTGGATCCGTTGGCTTCACTGGGAAATGCTGCCGTTGTCTGTGAGTCTTTTGACCAAACTGAACCGAATGCACTGTGTCGCTTGCCATTTAGACGACTTCGACATGGATTGCATGGTGATTGAACACGTTAATTGCTTCTACTGCGTACAGTTGGCTATATCAGTCGTATGGATGATGACCACTCAATGGCAATTGAGTGTCGCGTGTGTGATGCTTGGTTACCTGTCTATCTGTCTGTTCGTCCAGGGGCGTAGCTAGCAATCGCCGCGCCAATCTTTGCAATTCTAATTAACCCCAATCTGAAGAAAAGTGATTGTAACTTGACAAATTAAAAATAGATTTTCAACATATTTGCAACGTTGTAGAACCCCCATTTGTCCCAGTTATTGACGTCTCTGTATAATGGTAGTATTATTTGGGCTAGGGATAAAAACACATTTCCACAATTAGATCGACATTAATCGTATTGAAAGCGAAAATGTTGGCTTGACAAAATTGAACGATATTATATATTTTTATCTAGATGACACAATTGTTTAGTTATTTCGTTGCTCCCTATTAACAATTAACAATTGGATTCGTTTAGGTGTTCAATTAGGTGATAGACAAGCGGGGAGGGTGAGTAAAAGCTATGGAAGTTTCTAACATAAGAAATCATAAATAAATATCAATATTGGTAACTATTATAAGGCTGCGTTGAGTTATTGCTTTCGTCCAGATTGGTCAACGGAAACCTCCACGTTGATAGTCGCCCTGGTAGCGCTGATTGTAACCACCGCCGCCGCCACCACCGCGTCCACCATTATGGTAAGCTCCACCGCCACCGCCGCGTCCACCACCTTGAGGATTCCAGCCAGAGCCTTGCACACGTCCGCTGTTATTGATAAACTGGTCGCGCTGCTGTTGCGGCTGTTGTTCCTGATATTGTGGCTTCCAGTTTTGGGGTCCACCACCTCGTCCGCCGCCACGGCCACCACCACCGCGTCCGCCACGAAAATTACCGCCACCACCGCCACCGCCTCCACCACCACGACCGCCTCCTTGTCCACCGGCACGTTGCTGTTGCCAGGATGGCATCTCTGGCGGTGGTGGAGCATGCTCATTGGCACGTCCACCACGATCAGGCACACTTCCAATCACATGCTTCTCTATCTTAGATGCCGTATTCTTGCGCACATTCACTGAACTTGTCTTTTCAATGATAGCCAAATCCGAGCGCGCTGCCAGCAGCGCCACAATGTTGGTGTCATCCCCGCCATATTGTAGCTTTTCGATTTCCTTAAGCTTACGTTGAAAGCGTTCGCCAATCTCGTTTTGACGATTTTTCATGCTCTCCGACCACTGAAAGCTTTGAACAGTTGCCTCCAAACGGGTTAACATCATTTGACGGCGCAGATTATACTCGGCGTCCAGATCTCTGTGCATGGTCTCCAGAACACGCCACTGAGCATCGGTCAATGGCTTGCTAGTACTCATCAAGGGCTCACTAATCACCGCCGGGCTTATTTGCTTCAGCCGTTGCACCAGCTTAGGCATCATTCGCTCGAACAGCAGTTTGGCATTGATGTTTTTTGGCAACTCGCCCAGCTGGAGGTCAGTTGTCAATTGCATCACAGCGTCCTGCAGATGGGATTCAGTCTTTGATTTCTTACTGGGCGGCTCGACAGGCTGCAGCTTCAGCGACATCTTTGTGGCCATGAGCTCTGATGTCAGATAATCGAGAAGATGCAGAAGGGATTCTCGTGTCTGGAAACGTTCCGACATGGGTACTGCGACGAACTGCCGGTAGGGACATCCTAGCTCAGTCAGCAGTAGAGACAGTTCGAAAACAAACTCATTATGGTCCTTGCTGCTGGAAGCTAAATGTTCGTCGGTCTTCCTCAGCACATGTAATTGATTGGCAAGCCAGTAAATCAATTCACGCAATTCTGGGTTGCCTATGCCACTGTCTAAGTATTGACTTAGACTCTTTTGCTCAACATTTTTATAACCAAGCGCATCTAAAGAGTCTATAACATCCAATTCGAGATCCATTGCCGGCTTTTCTTAATTTTTTCCAACGTTGTTTTCGTTTTCATCCAGCTCCAAACTGATTGTTGGTCACACTCAAGTGTCACACTTTACAGAGAAACATGTTTATGGCTGTAATTAACAGCCGATAACAGTTGTCCGTTAATGTTTCTCAGTTTAAAAAAAAAAAAAAAAAAAATTACTATTTTTGTCTTTTATACTGTGTTGTGTGATTTTGATTTAATATAAATTTACATAAGTTTTCCATTAAAATATATAATTGCTCGATACTTTGTTTTAGATTGTTCTATTGCTCATTTATCGAATTGGTTGCTTAGAGACGAATGAACTGTGGAACTTGTTCTTTAGATATGAGACGCATGTTTTCAATGCTTTTAAAAGCATTGTTATCGCTGGCAACATTAACCGTATCAAAATAGGTTTGTTAACATTAACAGTTTACAGTGAAGCAAAGTTTATCCAAAGATCTTTCTGCAGCATATACATTCATATAACTTCATTTATTGTAGTTTATCAGCTTTAATATAATTTAAATATATATATTGGGTTTAATTTTTATAAGTGTAGTATATATAGATATATTTTTTCATATATATATATAATGTATATATATTTTTTTTTTGTAAAGCAGGAAGTTTTAGGATTCGCAAGAGTTACACCTTTGGTGTTATAAATTTTACATTTTCTCTTATGTTTTTTGTTTTTGTTTTACATACAACACTTACATAATTACTTAAAATGAACACACATATTTAGCTAATTAATGTATACAATCATAATCGTAATATTCAGTTACTTCATGTCTTCCAAGAGGCTCTAAAACTAATAGAAACAAGATAATGACGTCTTACACAGATACAAATTCGTTTTCAAACACAAAAAAATGATACAAATGAAAGAAACGAACAGAAGAAATACAAAAATTATTTCGCTGCAGCAACTACGCAATGGCACAAAAATAAATTCCGCGCAAGAAGTTCAAATTCCATCCACTGGCGACATTCGCTTAAGTGTAGCTGTACTGATTATCAATGGCGCGTCCGGTGCATTCGGCTCCTGATGTTGCACCGCTGCTGCTGCCGCTGCCAGGCACAGCACCACTGCTACCACTGGCGACTGCATCAACCGCATGTCGCGCTGCACCAACGCCCTGATGCGGTGCCTGCAGTGAAGCATTGGATGCACGCAGATGCGGCTGATCGAGGAATCCTTGACCAACTGGCGGCGAATTGTGCGCGGTCAGCGATGTGGGATCCAAATGGAAGTAGACTTGCTCCGGAAAAAAGACGTGTGTTGGCTCCTGTGGCAGTTCGATTTCGTTTGTCTTTAGACGAACACTTAGATTCATAGTGATCACTTCGTTGCACTGTAATTGAGTGGATGGATTAGATTTCGGTTTGCAATTTAAATGGTTTCAGTATATGGAAACGGCTTGGACACGGGACATGCGACATTTACAAACTACACACAATGAGTACGATTTTAAAAAAAGTGTTCCAAAATGAAACACCCAAAAAAAAAAAAAAAAAAAAAAAAAAAAAAAAAATTAATAAAATAAATTGAAAGTTTGTTAAATATGGTTCAAAACTAAAAAATTTTCATACTAATGATGAAGACGTTCTCCGAATCAATTGAGGCACGTAATTTGAGATCTTTTAACATAACAAATATTTGTGTATATAAACGAGCTTCCAGTTCAATATCTTTTATCAAGAATATTTTTATATACAATTTTTTTTTTAAATTAATATTTAATACCTAAGCTGTAAAACACTGCCTCTTCCTGATGCTCTATAAAACTACGTTGTGAGGCTATCTTGTCTATGGATTGATGTTTATGAAATGAAAAACTTGCAAAATCAAATAAAGAAAAATAAAAACCATCACTGACACTGAATTGACTCCAAAATTTTGGCTATCTCACATGTCTCGGCGATGGGTGTCCATTGCTATTGCCAGAGCTGCTGGCGACGTTGCTCGCTCCAGTGTTCGCATCGGTGCCCGGGTCATGCGCAGTCGCTGGTATTGTAGTTATGGGAGCGTTATCATTTAGCCTGCTCGTGTGGTGCACCCAATCGGTGAGCGTCACATCCGATGTGCCGCCCGACTCGAGTGGTATGGGATTGTGCCGGAAGTGTTCCAGCATCTCTTGAATGGTGGGGAACCACAGATGCTGAACTCGGCACTGTCCCTTTTCGGAGATTGTCAGTCGCAGATGCTTGGCACGTCCTTGAAAATTGAATGTCAGCACGAATTCGCCGCGTCGCGTTTCGCTTTGGCGTACCAAAAAGAAGCCATGACCCGCTGCCTCCGACTGTAGCACCATGCGAGCTGCTTCGGCGCGTGGCAACGTGCCGTGGAACCATGGAAACAGTCGCATTTCCGCCGTTAAGTCCGCTACATTTATATCGTTTTCTGTTTCGACCAGTTCGTTGCCATCGAAATTGCTGGAGGCGGACAACCGTTGTTCACCCCGGTCACCACGTGTCGGCCGCGAGGGTATTTCAGGCGGCGTGCTGCTCAGCTCATTGCTCGTCTGGGAAATGACATTCAAATCATTGGCGGAAGCCGCATTTGCGTTAGTGTTCCCGACGGACGCAACGGCCAAAGCGCTATCAGCTGATTGCGAAGTTACCAAATTGCCATTGGAGCCGCCCAGCAGAGGACCTCCTTGCTGCTGATATTGAGGATTTTGTATGCCTCCCAAGGCACCACTAGCAGCGCTTGTTGTTGGATTTGGGTTTGTGGTCACCGGCGATGTTTGCATAGCTGCCGCAATGACTTCTGAATCCAGTATAGGTTGCTGCGTTGGCGGGGTTCGCATGCAATAGCGTATTGTGGCCAACCAGCTGCGCATGTCCTCGGCGCTCTCTGCTTCGATTACGTATTCCATATTGTTGTCGGCCTTCAGCACAAATGTGTTCAATCGATCCGGCATCTCCAGCGTGGTTGTTTCACGTGCCTCCGAAATCAGAAAGCAAAAAACACCACTTTGA